GGTAATCCTGACTTTAAAAAAAAGCTTTTTTCTATTTAGCCTTTGCATGCCTTCATATAAGACACATTTCTGAAGCCTTTTGGTTGAGGTGTGGTAACGTATTTCTACCTAAATGTTTCCTGAGCCCAAAGTGTCATCATCATCTGATTATGAAACCTGCCATTTGTTGAAGATATATGGTTGTTGCTCAGAATGGTTTTGCCTGCAGGTGAGTCTTTCTGTTCCTCCACTCCATCTCTCCATGTTTCTGTTTTTCTCTGATGCTCAGATCGACCCTTTGCTGTATGAGGAGCAGCTGCTGTGGGTGAGTGGAGCTCAGGGGGCAGTGAACACCTACAGGATCCCACTGCTCACCTACACCGCCAAGGGAAGCCTGCTGGCCTTTGCTGAAGGCAGGAAATCGTCGTCCAGTGATGTGGGAGCAAAGTTCATCGCAATGCGGAGGTCCACCGACAAAGGCAGGACCACCCAGATAGTCCTGCAGTCAGAAACAGTTAGATATAGACACAGAATACACGGTCTGTTAACAGAGTGGTTGTGAATGCACAAGCGAATATTTCAAAACAGATTTTAGCACCAAATTGCATCAGCTTTCTGGTTTCTTTTATGACAGTCAAACAGGACAAGAAACAAGTCACAACTTAAACTGTCTTAATGAATTTTAACTTCATATTTGTATGAAACTATGTATGTTGTTGTTTATTATATTATTAGATATCAAGTTGTTGATAGTCATATTTATCAGAAAGCATAACAAAAAGAAAACGGAAACAACATACCTCACCCTGACAGTCAACAGCATTTGCTCAGTGTATGATTGTACAAACAGCAACATTTCAGTATTATGATTATAATTAATGTTGGTAATTATCTGATGCCCAATTTTAAGTACTTTTGCCAATGTGTTACTATATGATATCAAAACAGTTTTATTCTTTGTTTAAAACCTTACTTTGAAGAATAGAAGAGACCAAAAAAAGTTCTTAACTGTTGTTGCCTAAAAACAGCAGCTGTACAACAACTTTATCAATTAAATAGAGTAAAATTTGAATTTAAATCAGAAAATGTCTGATCTAAAAATAGTAAAGAGCAATATGAATATGATGTCTGCTTTTCATACAGACACTTGGTTCAGTACCAAAAACATTAAGATTTAATACTCAGTTCTAATGTTGATCTGAGGTATAGGGGGAAAGTTTAATAAACAGTCAGTCTTCCTCCTCTCCTCATCTTCCTCCAGGAGCCACCTGGTCCCCGACCAGCTTTATTGTTGACGATGGATGGCAGACAGATGGTCTGAACCTGGGTTCGGTGGTGGTGGATGAGGAAGTGGGCTCAGTGATTCTGATCTACAGCATCTGCTTCCACCTCTACCACTGCAGCCCATCCAGCACCATGATGGTGGAGAGCAGGGATGACGGGTTCACCTGGAGCCCGCCCAGAAACCTCTCGCTCCAGCTTGGGGTCAAGAACTTCATTGGTGGGCCAGGCTTCGGCATCCAGGTGAGAGATCGATATGACATTAACATGTCTGTGCAGATTCTCAGTCATCCAGGTCATAGTAAACTGAAAAAACTTAGAAAAAATCAACTGGACTTAGATTTCTAGGTCGAAGACGTTTCACCTCTCATCCAAGAGGCTTCATCAGTTCTGACTGACTGGTGTTGAGCCGGATATATTTATCCTCCTCGGTAGTGTTTCAGTCCTTTGATGCCCAACAATGTCCCCTACTGACTGAGTCGTTATAGCCCAGTTTCGGTGAGAGTTGTTACCTGTCTTTGAATCCTCCCCTGTCGACCGATGCCTATTGTCCTAGTGGACATGTTTGGGTGAAGATCTCAAAACAGAGTTTTAGATGGAAGACAAGTTGTGTCTTAGTCCACCACCCCTATTTAGTGAGGGGTGTTCCATTTTTACAAAAATAGCTTCCTTGACTCCTCTCTCAAACCAGCAATGTTTTCTGGAGAGGATCTGGACTTCACTGTCCTCAAAAGAATGCCCTTTGTCCTTCAGGTGGAGGTGGACTGCTGACTCTGGTCCACTGGAGTTGGCCCTCCTGGGTTCAGCCATGCTTTTGTGAAGCGGCTGCTTAGTTTCACCAATGTACAAGTTGTTACACTCCTGACTACACTTAATTGCATACACCACATCACTCTGTTTATGTCTGGGTGTTTTGTCCTTCGGGTGGACCAGTCTCTGCCGCAGGGTGTTCCCTGGTTTAAAGTTGACCGTGTGTGTAGGTTTCTGATATACTTCTACCTTCAGGCTTCTGTCCCCTCCCAAGAGGACTGCATAATCCAAAAAGGCCAGACAGTCATCTCTGGCATCCTCACGAGTGAATTTGATGTTGTCATCCACAGAGTTGATATGTTTGGTGAAAGCCTCTACCTCCTGGGTCCTGATTTTAGCCCATGTGTCATCCACGTAGCAGAACCAGTGGCTGGGAGCGGTGCCAGTGAAGGAAGACAGGGCTTTGTCCTCAAATTCTTCCATGTACAGGTTGGCAACTATAGGAGACACAGGGGAGTCCATCGCACAGCTGTGTTGCTGCCTATAGAAGTGCCCCCTAAACTGGAAGTAGGTAGTGTTTAAACAGAGTTCCAGCAGAGTGCATACATGGTCTGGGGTGAGG